GGGCGCATCGGGACAGCCCCGCAGCCCCGCAGCCAGTCAGTCTTGTCAGAGAGAGTGGAGAGGGGAGTGGGGAATCCTCAGGCCCCGGAGACCCCTGTCCTGTCCCCAGGCCCCTCTCCTGTCCCCCCAGACCCCTGTCCTGTCCCCCCGACCCCTGTCCTGTCCCCCCGACCCCTGTCCTGTCCCCAGGCCCCTCTCCTGTCCCTCCAGACCCCTGTCCTGTCCCCCCGACCCCTGTCCTGTCCCCAGGCCCCTCTCCTGTCCCCCCAGACCCCTGTCCTGTCCCCAGGCCCCTCTCCTGTCCCCCCAGACCCCTGTCCTGTCCCCTCAGACCCCTGTCCTGTCCCCAGGCCCCTCTCCTGTCCCCCCAGACCCCTGTCCTGTCCCCCCAGACCCCGTACTTCTGGACGAGCACCCTGTGGCCGGCTGCAGAGCTGGACTACGGTAAGTGTGAGGACCGGTGACGGGGCAGCCCGGGGCAGGGGCAGAGCTGTCCCTGCACTGTCCCTGTCCTTCCAGCCATCTACCTGGCCAAGAAGAACATCCAGAAACAGGGAGCCTTAGCTGACTATGAGAAGGTAGGTCCCACCCGAGGGGCGCAGCCTTACCGTCTGCCCCAGAACAAACAGCCCAGGCCTCGATAACGCACACGTGTGCTGGAACCCATCCCACCACCATCGGGGGCCTTAGGTCTGAGAGCCCCGGCTTCCCGGAGCCTGTTGAGCTCTGTTCCGGGCAGAGATGACTCGCACACAGGGCAGGTGCGGGGCCTTGTCCCCGAGCTGGACACGCGGGGCAGGGGACACCCACCGGAGTGCTTGCTGCCCCCAGGTGCAGTATGACCAGCTGCACAAGAAGCTCAACCACACGTGGGACCTGGTGCTGATGCAGGCTCGAGAGCAGCTGCGGTGAGTCCGGCCGGCCCAGGCCCGGCGGCGGCCAGTGCGGCCAGCGGCGTCCCGCCGGGCCCTGGTGTCCCCACGCCGCGGGCAGCCGGCCCGGTCCCCCGGCCCGGCCCCGGCGCTCCTCACCGCAGCCTTCCTCCAGGGCAGCTAAGCGGCGCAGGAAGGGGGACAGGCTGGTCATCGCCTGCCAGGAGCAGACGTACTGGCTGGTGAACAGACCCCCGGTGAGCCCGGCCGGGACCGGGGAGGAGCCCCAGGGAGGGAAGCTGACAGTGCTCTGAATTGAGAACCCGGAGGCGCTCTGGGGTCCGCACCGGCCGCGAGCTGCCTGCGGGCCCCGGTGGGGAGAGGGCTGGTCTGACGTCTGGGACACCGAGGGTCGAGGCCAGAGGGGGAGCGGGCGTGAGGGGCTCAGGCCCGGCCGGGCTGCCCTGCGCGCCACGCGCAGCGGAGGCTGCGGGGCGTCGGGCGGGTCCGCGGGCCGAGCGCTCAGCTCCGGTTTCCTCCCAGCCCGGGGCCCGCCATGTTCTGGAGCAGGGTCCGGAAAGGGGCGCCCGCCCGGCCAGCCACCTGCAGACGGTAATCCTGGCTCCCAGCCACCGCAGCCACCCTCGGCCCCGCCCGCGGCGGCCCGCTGAACACCCACGCTTCTGCCCCTCCGTGACACCTGCGGCGAGCGCCCGCATGCAGCCCTGCCCACTGCCAGTCCCTCCCTCAGCCCCGCCC